CGGAGGTCATTGTCGGCGCCACCGACCGTGAAATGTCCCGACCCACAGCCCTCATGCACTAGGCTCATGGATGCAGTCATAATATGTAGGCCTTGTCTCCCGAAGTTTGGAGCAATAGCCGCAAATAGTACTTTTTGGCACGTCATCGCGACACGTCCAGGTGCCGACAAAGCGGCTTCCAAGCTCACCACCTCGCCTTCTCTGTCGCTCTCCTGGCCCAGGCCCATCAGCAGCAAGTCTGAGCCGTCCCAAACCGCACTTTTTCTTGGGTGATGAAGCTCACTCTGGCTCATACCACGGCTCTGCAGCCTCACACACGCCCGTTTCAGCCACAGACACCGCCGGCACGCACTCCCACTTCACACACGCTCAAGCACAACCCCATCAAAGCACATCCCTGCTCAGAATGGGCAAGGGCTACCACCTGGTGACCCTGGTAGCCTCTGGCTCGCCACTGCACTCGGCTCCTCTGCAGCGGTCTCGGCTCTCGCCACGACAGCACGCCGACGGCAAGCTTTGACGCCCGTCTGGTGGACCTGCTGTGGCCACAGCCGCCCCTGACATGCATCTCGCACCATGACTCGACACCGGACCCGCTCAGCTTGGTCGTGGCGGCGTGTGTGAAGGATGCGCGGCCGAGCCGCTGGCTGGCGCCGCTTGAGCGTCCGAGATGGCCGCAGCAGAGGCCACGCGTCGCGCCGCCGGCCAATCCCAGCCTCTCGGCGGTCGAGTTGGTCGAGCTGGCGGGCGGAGAGCCGCCAAGAGGGCAGCAGCGGAGCGTGAGAGGCCGTGCGAGCTTGCGCTAGCGAAGCGCTAGCGCTTCGGGCGATTTCAATAGGCGGCCCACCTCGGCCTTTAAGAATTCTTCTCTCGCTCCGCTGCTGCCTTCAGCTCGCCATGCTCAAGGCTCTCCTCCTGGGATGTCTCGCCGTGCCTTCCGCCTCGGCCCGCCTCACGGCGCACCGTGCGCCAGCCATACTCTCGGCCAGCCCTGCCGGCCTGCGCGGCGGCCGCGCATGTGCAACCGTGGTGGAGCCCTCTGCTGAGCCGCTGCTGCGCATTGGCCACGGGTACGACATCCACCGCATGGCGTCGCGCGAGGAGGCCGGTCAGCCCGTCATCATCGGCGGCGTCAAATTCGACGGCTCCGACGCGCCAGATTTCAATCTCGGCTGCGTGGCGCACTCGGACGGCGACGTCGTGTACCACTCGGTGACGGACGCGATCCTCGGCGCGCTCTCGATGCCGGACATAGGGCAGCTGTTTCCGGACAACGACCCGCGGCTTAAAGGTGCCGACTCGGAGGTGTTCATGGAGGAGGCGTACGAGCGCATGGTTGGGCGAGGATACCGCGTGGGCAATGTCGACGTGACGGTCATCTGCCAAAAGCCGCGAATCAACGTGGAGCACGCGGGCGGGCAGGTCAAGGCGCGGATGAGCGCCAACCTGGCGAGGCTGCTGCGGGTCCCGCTCGGCCGCGTGAACGTCAAGGCGCGCACGCACGAGCTCGTCGATTCGGTGCGCCCCGCCGGCGGCTGCCCTGGCTGCCCTCGCCGCCGCCCTCCTCACCCCCGGCCCCACACCGTGGCGATTCGCAGGTCGGCGAGTGCCGTGCTCTCGAGTGCCACGTCGTCCTCGTGATGGAGCGAGACCCGGCCGCCGGCGCCGCGGCGGGCGCCGCGCCGGTGGAGGTATGAGGGTAAGCAGCAGCGCGTATACGCTCGCGGATGTTTTTTGGATGTGCGGAGCCACACACGGTCTGTGCGCACACTGTGTGGTCTGTGGCAGAACTGCGTGTGGGCGTCTCACTCTCACACCCCGGGGTCGGTCTCGGGGTTCTGTCAAGCGAGCACTTTTACAACCCATGTAACAGCAAATAGACGACAACATAATAGATAACGCATCCAGAGAAGACTGCGCGTCGTGTGGCCGCGCCCCGCGCTCGAGAGAGAGGGGCCCCTCTCTCTAGGCGCGCGCGCTAGCTACCCGAGGCGCCGTGGGAGACATGCGCACCGACGAGAGTCGAGACGAGACGGCAGCGTGCGCCGCGCTGCGCACGGCCGAGCGCCAACCCTGCCCTCGTCCACGCCGGCCGCCTCTCCCCACAATAGCTCAAAAACGTCTGCGACCGGCCCGCCCTTCCCCTGCACCCACACCCTTTCTGCCAGGAGGGACACAGCGCACGGCGCGCGGGCGCGCCGTGGCGTCCCCCTCCGGCCGGGCGGCAGGGAGAGAGCGGGGGCCGCTCCCCATGTACAAGGAAGAGCAGGGCGCTCGTCCGTGCGCCCCCTCTCCTATAACCGCCCAACCTCCACTTGCGTCCCTGCATTGATTGCGCCTTCCTCTGCGTTCATACTCTCGCCCTTTCCTTTTGCCACGTGCCCCCTGAGCTCCATATTACGTTATGCCCTTCCCGCTTGTCTCATAGTGAACGCCGCCGTTTCCTCCTCCCTTGACCGCTTCTCACGGTGTCTTTCCCTGTCGTCC